ATGCATTCAGCTGAGATGAATCTTGTAGCAAAAATTTCGGGATTCTCTGCAATCTTTTTATTGAGATTCAAATCAGGATCACTGGGTTTCTTTTCTTCTGTTTGGGCGTGTATCGCCAATAGTACACAGGATTTAAGCCAACAGGCTCTGACTGCTGTAACCAAGGGAAATGGGAGGATCTGGGAGTCAGTTTGTTTTCAAGACGTTTCCAGGAGGAGCGGGTTGGGCAGTGCTCTCTGGCCCACGGAGCTTGGTACCAACTTCCTTTGCTTGTCCTGAGTACCAGAAAAAGCTTGACTGCTTGTTGCATCAAAAGATCAGGTTTTGAATCTGATTATAAATCACAAATATTATAGAGTGCTTATTTAAAATGACAACTTCTAGAAAATTGTGGGAAGAATAACTTTGTTCTTATTGGGAATGCAAATCTAGCCACTAGTATTTCCTTTTTAAATTTCACATAGCTTGTTTATTTTTTTCCTTTTTGAATTTATTGGGGTGACGCTGGTTAAAAAAAATTATACAGGTCTCGGGTATACAAGTCCACAAAACATCATCTGTACACTGTATTGTGTGTTCACCACCCCAAGTCTGTATGTTTAATTTTACAAGAAACTGCCATACCTTTTGCCAAAATATATACTTGTACCAACAATATATGAGTTCTTGGTCAATATTTGGTTTTAATTTAATTTTTCATTTTAGCCATGTGGAAATGTATGTAGAGGTATTTCATTATGGTTTTAATTTGCCTTTCCTTGGTGGCTAATGATGTTGAGCATCTTCTTATGTGTTTATTGGCCATTCATGTATTTTCTTTTGTGAAAGTTCTGTTAAAAGGTTTTTGCACCCTCCCTCTTTTTTACTGGTTGTTTGCCTTTTTATTATTGACTTGGGGTTCCAGTGTTAAATTCCTGCTTTAGGTTGTCCAGTTTCCCTATAGGGAACACATTCATGAAGAACTTTGTACACGTGTCTTGGTAAAACTCACAACCATACTTCTACGAAGAGCAAATTTGCTGTCAGGCAGGTGTGCCAAGATGTATTCCAGCCAACCAGAGGAAGTATCAAAAAGGTGTCCTTGTTTCTTTATGACTTCACTCTACTTATATCCAGTGTTCCTGTCCCATTAGACGTGGAATAGAAGGCAGGCCATGAGTTTAGATGTCAGACAGATATGGGTTCAAACCCCCTGCCAGCCTTCAACCCATACGAGCATGAGCAACCTGAGTGTCAGATTCCTCCTCCATAAAATGGATAAACCTACGCTCAGGGTTGTTTTAAGGATTAAAAGTTATGTGCATGTTGGATAGAGAATGTAGTAAGTGCTTAATGACATCTACTCAAACAACTCTTCGAGGTGGGTACTGTTACCTTCAGTTTATAGATGAGAAAACTGATCATTGTTTTAAGATCACAGTGAGGATGGAGCCAGGACTAGAGGATTTACTATCCACCTCAAAATTAAAAATAAAAAAGTAGCTGCCATGACTATGATTATGATTATTTTTTCTATGCTTTCTTTCCTTTTGAAATTGCCTGTTCTCATCATTCAAGACCCAGCTACCTGCAGAGAAGACTTGTCTTCGCCTGTCTAGTGCGCTACAGTCCTCTGTGCTCTTCTGCTATAGCTCACATTGTTTCCTTCACCCTTGTCCACGTCTGCTCCTGGAAGGGCTCTTTGTGGCCTTAGTATTTCTGTTGCCTAAGCAAGGAGGCTAGCATATAGCAGGTGCTCAGTAATGTTGAATGAACACACACACAAGACAGCATCGTAGCAGTTCCATGTTGCCCACACTGCCATGCTGCTCTGTGTCAAGCTCTGGGAACTGCTGCAGTATGAGCCTTCTAGGGAATCTCCCCCTGGGTTGTGGTCTCTCCTATTTCTTCCACACACAGGATTCTATAGAACGAGTTTGTCTTCCCTCCTTTCCAGAGTCTGTGATAAGTCTATACAACAGACAGAAGAAGCCACACTGGCTTGGGAGAGTAAAAGCTGGGCTGCTTGCCTTGGAATTGGCTCCAAATCACCCTCCCATCTCCAAGGGCACTGTGTTGCCTCAAGAAACAGACAGCTGGAGATGCTGGCTCTGAAGGCCAGCCAAGCCTCTGTGGTTTGGCAGAAGAAGAGGTCATTGTCCATCCAGGAAGTGGTCCTGGGTCTCAGCTGACCCTAGACTTTTCTAGGCAAGGCTGGAATTCTTAACAGCTGAACTGAAGGCTCCCAATAGGCTCCCAAACAATTCCACCTCTCCAGAGGGCTGTAGATGGATCCCTCTCCCCAGGCAGACTCCCTGCCCCAAACCCCACAGATCCTAGCCCTGCATGCCTGGGGTACTAAGAGGTTTGTTGACATGTTAACAGCAATCAAGCTAGTCTAGCCACTCATCACTCACCTTGGAGGGAAGTGTGGTGATCCCGGGAACTGAGAACCCCTGCAGAGCAAAGCTGCAGAGATTATGGGCTCCAGCCCAAGAGAAAGCTCAGCCACAGTCAGACAAGCGGTTGAGAGCTTGATGCTCCAAAGGAAGGGAGAAGGAACAAGCTGATAGAGGACAGAGACCATATGTACAGCAAAGTCAAACAACCCAGAAAAACTACAGAATTTAACATGTGATTGGGCCCTCACCCAGCTTAGTGGATGATCTCAGCTTGGATACAGTGGCTTTTAGACAAAAGGAACACAAAACTCCCAAGTTCCAATCCAGCGCTAGGGAGAGCACTTACAATGGCCTCCTGCAGGGGTAAAAGGATGGGACTATGGGACAACTGCAGCCCTGTCACTCAGCCTGGGTGGCACAAAGAGCTATGAGATTTAGGCTGAAGGTCACTGATCCATGGGTGGTGTTTGATGTATGAAAGGAGGGTGGAATGATCTGGTTTCTTTTTTCTGTGAGAAATGACTTCACGTTCCTTAAGGCTGGGTCTTACAACCCCTTCTTTCATTCCATACACACTCTCTGGACAAGCTCATTCACATCCATGGCTTCACTTACCACCTTTACATTGATAGCGCATGTATTTATTTTTCCAGCCCAATGCTCCCATCTAAATCCCACACTCATGGATCCAACTATCTCCTCAACATGACCCCTTGGATGTCTCAAAAGCACCTCAAACTCATCATGTAAATCAAATTTATGACCTTCTTCCCACACCTGGTTCTCTCCTAAACTCCCCATCTGGATGAAGCCCCCTCTTGTACAATGCAGAAACAATGGCGATGCCCTTGACCATTCCTCTCTCACACCTACCAGATCTTTCAGAATTTCCTTCTAAATAGCTCTTCATCCCTTCTGCTTTTCTACATACCCCCCACCTCCACCTTAGTCCATTACCTCTTATCTAGGTGGCTGCAATCATCTCCCAGTTTCCAGACATCCACTTCGGTCCCCTCCAATAAACACTCCATAAGGAGCCCTTCCAGCCTCTTCCCCTACTTGACTCCTACTCATCTTTCAGATAGCTCAAATGCCACTTCCTCAAGGGAAACACCTCGTGACCTCTCTGAGTAGGCTATTAACTCCTTTCTAGCACTAGTCAGAGTTGCAATTTTACATTTGGCCTCTGCAAAACTCGAAACTCCGTAAGAGCAGGACTGTGTCTGTATTTGCCACTACTGCATTCCTAAGGCCATGCTCAGTGTCTTACACATGTGCAATCCCGACATCTAATATCTACTGAATGAGTGTCATTTGTTTATACCCAGTTAACCTAATCATCACCACAGTCTTCTGGGCCACTGTTATGTCTTGCATGATTATGTTGTTATATGTCTATCTTGACCCTGTCCTCCTTCAGTAGATTCTCTACACTGCAGCCAGAATTGTCTTTTTAACAAGCAAATTCAACCATTTGTAATCTTCCATTACGCTCAATAGAGTTCAAATTCATTAACGTGGCCTCTAACATGAGAACTGCTAGTTAACCTATCCATAGATTGTCGTCTTCTTGTTCCTTAGTAACATAGCTCTGATTTTATCAAGATAGCAGTGTGCCCTACTAAAGGACTAGCCCACCCTCCCCAGTAGCCAGCCGGCTGCTGAGAGATTTGAAAGGTAGAACAACAATCAGATGCATTGGTAATTCAGTGACTTGAAAGGGTTCTTATCTTTCCAAAGGCCAGAACTGCCTATCTTCTAGATAATGCTGTGTCCCTCCATCTATAAAATGAGAAATAAAACATTTCTCCTATCAGCAGGTGCTGGCCAATGAGATGAAAGTGGATGGTACTGGTTCAAACTTCCCAAAATGCTTGACATGGGAATACACAGCTGGGTGTGCTTTGCTCCTCCCCAATTTCTTTGCGTTCTGCCAGTTTCAAGGATATGACGATGGGGGCTTCAAAAACCACCTTAGACATGAAATAGCAATGAGAACTCAAGCCATGTGCCTGGGATGGCTGAGCAAAAAGAGCCAACCAGGACCCGGCGCCCACTACCGAGGAGCCACGTTGCCCTGTACTTTGGACTTTTTAGATGAGGACATAAATCTATTATCTTAAGTTACTGATATTTTCCTAGCAGTCAAATTGAAACTTGATACAGGCTGGATGTTTTTTCAGTTCCTTGTAGCTATTTCTCTCCATTTCAAGTCTTCCCAAGCTGTTCCTTCTGCCTGGGATACAGCCCCCACCTGGCTAACTCCTACCCATCCTTTGGGTTTCAGCTGAAGAACAGCCCTTCAACGACCACACAGCCAGGTGAAGATGCCCCCGTTTTCTAACACCAGAGCAGTTCCCTGTCATGTTGCTCACTGTACTGTGAATTGTGGTATTTACTTCATCTCCTCCCCCAGAGACTTCAATTCCATGAAGGCTGGAGTACAGCCTGTCTTATTCAAAACTGCATTCCAAATGCTCAGCACAGGTGTTCAATAAATATCTCTGGAATAAATGGAGTAGATGAGTGAGGGGGATATGGTGTTTACAGAGCTAAACAAATACAGTGGGGTCGACATCTTTGCAGTGTGAAAAATGAAGTGGAATGGTTGGTGTGTTATCATTTGTTTATTGTTTATTCTGTGCCCTATTCCAAACGAGGACACAGGGAACCAGGATCGCTCGGGCACCGCCTCACGTGAGTGCTGAAGGGTTCGCGTCCATTTAGAGACACTGGTGTAGGAGGCTCCGTTAGAAGACTGCACGGGTAGTTTGGGGGATAAGGGGTGCTAAGAAAAGCAGTGGCATCTTGTCCTACCTTATCTCCATCTCCTTGCTCGAAGCTCTACCTCAGGAGTAAGCCAAAAACTAATGGGAGGGTTGCAGCAGGAAAGGTTAGCAGTAAAACAGGAGAGGGTTAACTCCCAGGAGGTATACCACCCCACCTTCCTTTCCACCCTCTCTCTGGTGCCTACTACAAGTAGAGTCTGGTCTTCTCCGAAGGGCTCTGGCTGGGCCTAGGGTCTCATGTGGAGAGTAGCCAGCTCGGCCAGTCCATAGGTGGGGGCCCACTGCTAGCTGCAGGCTCCAGGCTCTGCCCCTCCCTCATCCCCATCCTCCTCCTCGTCAGACTGTGCCAAGGGCGTGTCTGCTCCGTCGTCACTGGGATTTGGGCTGTGCAGGTTGGTGGAGGAGTCAGAAGATGAGGAGGAAGTGCGGGACGTGGTCCTGTCTGGCCTGTGCATTGGCAGGCTCAGCTCCTCTGGATGGTCAGCAGCCCCTGCCCAGAGAGAAGAGCTGGTCAGGGCCACAGTCGGGGCTTCAGAGGACTCTCAGGGATGATCTGGCCAGGAGAGACTGAAGCCCAGACAGGGCCAGGGACTTGTCCAAAGTCATTTAGCCAGTCCAGCAAAGAGCCAGGTCTCCTGACTCCCAGCTCCTACTTCTGGGATCACATCTGGGCCCTAGAGTCGAGTCAATCAATTCAAGATTTCAAGTTCTATCTGTGTCACTTATTTACTTAGTAGTGCTGGGCAAGTCACTTTCCTCTTGAGGACTCAGCTCCTTCCCTGTAAAAAATGGGATTCCTACATTCCAGAGGGGGTTTGGGGATGAACTCTAACAATGCTGATAAAATGTCTGGCACACAGTAGTAGCCTATCAAGCAATAGCAGCAGCTTTAAATAAGAGGATGCCTACAAGTTAGTATATGGGCTTTGGAGTCAGAAAGCCATGGTCTGAATCCAGTTTTTCTACTTTCTGGCTATGTGACAACTTCTCCGAAGTCGAATATCCCGCTTTATAAAATGGAGATAATACTACCTGCCCTAATAGGACATTTGTAAGGATTGAGATAATATATGTAAAGTATTTTAGCACAGTATCAGAAACTTAATAAAGTGCCCAATAAATACTGTATTATTAAGATGACTAAAACTGCTTAAGTTCTCTAATGTAAAAATTACATTAATCTCACAAGTATAAAATTAATAAGGCTAAGGGGGGTTGGGCATTCCTAGAATTTTAGATCAGGGATCTGTAACCCAGCTGCCCTCAGGGTCAACTTCCCTAAAATCAGAACAGACAGCTGTTTCATTGGTGGAAACGCCCCCTTCCAGCCTTCCAGTCACACTTCAGAGCCCCAACATCCGGCTCTGGCTAAATGGCGCCCAAGTCTCAGCACAGGAGCATACCAGACGTCTGGGGGGTTGGTGGAGGATCTTCGCAAGGCAAGAACACGTCTGCTCCGTCCTGATCCCCAAGGTCAATAAGCTCCACTTGCTCCAGGGTGTCCACATTCACTTCCATGGATGAGATACTACCTATGGGGGCTGCAGATCAAGAAGGGGGCAAGTCAGGAGGACCCAGGCTGGAGCTGATAGGCCAGAGATATCTGTCAGGTCCAGAGATAGAAGTTCAGAGGGCCAAGAAAACAAGGGGGAGGAGCCCCCAAGATTCTGGATCTTTAAGACTTTCTCCTTATCCCAGTCCCTCTCCCCAGGACTTAGAACTTACGTCTCTGTGCCTCAAGATGCAGGTGGGACAGGGGGAAGACAAACTCTGTCTCTGGCTGTAAGATGTCCTCAAAAAATTTCTGCCGCTCCCGCAGGCGGAGCTGCTGGCGCTCCAGCGATGCCCGAGGATTTGGGTCCATGTCAGCTCCTGGAGAGTGGAAGACGAAGCTATGAAGCTGAGAGGCAACGCAGTGGGGGCCTGAGCTTGGGGAGCCCCACTGCAGCCAGCATCCCAGCAGTGAGGCCTCTGGTTCCAGCCCAGACACCTCTGAACTTGGCTTCCTCCTTCTCCTTCCCTAAAACAAAGTCCATTACCACAAACTTCAAGTCTCATACAGAGGCGGGGCCAACCCTAGCTCCACAAAGGGGATGCCAGTTCCAGGCACCGCAAGAGAGGCTCCTCTGTACTCAGGGGACAGACAGAGCCAATGGCCAAGTCCCAGAATCAATCCCATCTGGGGGTGGGGGGTGTTGGAGGGACTGATCCAGCCCAAATTGGGGAGGCATTTATCCACCTCACGGACCCCTCCCTCCTCAGAGGCCAGGGAAGCAGATAGGACAGAGGTCTCGGGGTGGAAGGTCCTCTTCCTCTAGTGCTCTGGTTCCTGCCCATTCTTCAGACACCCGAAAAAAAAGCTTAAGTACCCCCTTCCCTCCTCTCTCTCTCTCTACTCACACCCCCCCATCACCTTCACCCCCATCCTCTCCAAATCCTGCTCTGAAGTCACAGACCTGACTTCCAGACTTGGCTCTTTGCCTAAGGAAGTCAGCCTTCTAGTCTGTCTTTCCGTCTGAAAATGGCATATCATCCTACCTACCTCAAACACAAGACATAGCTTGCGAGGGTGCTCTGTGAGACGTAAAGCTCGCTCTTCTCTGCGCTCCCACGGCTCTTTATTTGCGCTGATGTCCCCTCTGACACACGTCCCCTCTGTCTTATCTCCCCACCAGTGAGTAGCAATTGGAAGGGCAGGTTCTGGGTCCAATTCGGACCAAGCCCAGTTCTGAGAGCTTTCCAGAACACCAGCGCTCTGGGCAGCCCAGGCCCTGTGCATTCACTCGTATTGGATCAATCTACTTCCAGGCACTGGGCTCAGAGCCCATCACCGGAGGCAAGGAAGTAGTATCTAACCCGAGGACGATCCTCCTCCTCCGCAGACTCCTTCCTCGCCCCATCCGTACTCAGCGTATGCAAGACCCCATCAGCTCCACCGGCGCTGGGGCTGCGGTGATGGACCCAAACCCACTGGACCAGGCAGCGCCATGGAAGTGTGGGGAGACCTTGCAGCCACGGGCTGGCGGGCTAGCGGTGGAGGAGAAAGGCGCTGACACCAATTCCTGGGAAAGGCTCTTAGATCTGCGGCCCAGGTCACAATGCTAAAAATACCCGGGCTCCTGAGGCCGACTGCTTTAGCAGCGGGTGGGGGAGGGCGAGTGAGAGGGTGGGGGAGTGACAGGGACCAGGGGCTCCTGGACGCCTCCTCGATGTTCCCTTCCCCCAACCCCCATCAATGGCAGGAGACGGAAGGAGCTGCCCCCCGGGGGGCCACAGGGCCAGTGCTGAACAGAAGTAGGGACTTGTTTACACGACTAACGGTGCTGGGGAGAGAGGTGAAGAGATTTGGAGGCAAGAGGTTGCCAGGGGCCCAGCTGGGGACCAGTGAAATGGAGAGCGCCCTCCTGGTCTCTGCCCCACCCGCACTGTAGTCTGGGAGAGCGAAAGAATTCCCTAAAAAGGGACAGCCCTGTCCGCGAGGGAAGGGAGGGGAGGTGACGGAGACACCCCCACCCTTGCCCTGGCCATTCCACCCGGGATCGCCCCCCCCCCCCCCACCGGCCCTCCCGTAGCACCTGCGCCCGCCGCCTCGGCGGAGCCCCTACCTGCCGCGCTGGCGCCGCCGCTGACTCAGTCTGTCCGCTCCAGCGAGACGGGGACGGGGGCGTGGGAGCGAGCCGTGCCGGCCGGGGTGGGGCCGCGCCGCCGGGTCTCCCCCGGGACGCACGGGCCCTGGGAGCCGGGAACGAGGAAGAGGCGGGAGGCGGAAGTGGGGGAGGGGCGGCGGCGGGCACACGCGCTCGCCTCTCACCCCGCGGTCTTGGGGAGCCCCTTCGGGCGCGAAATCTCTTACTTCCAGGGCAGGCGAAAAGTTCCCGGCCCGCATCCTTCCTCCCCGCTCCCAGCTGGCCTCCGTCCGGCCACTGCCGTGCGCTCGGGGCCGCACGCTCGGCTCCACTAGCCGCGCCCTGTTGCCGGCGCAGACCCGCCGTGGGGACACGCGCGGGCTCCCTACCCACACGCACTTGATGCTCCCGGACTGCCAGGCAGCCCCCACGCAACCGGCGCCAACCCGAACCCCCGCCACACTTGCACGTTGATGCGCACACATCTCGACAGGGAGCAAGCAGGGAAAGAGAGGCTGAGGACTGGTCGGAGGGGGTGGGCACCCACACAGTGCTACCCGTCAGGGCAGGTGCACTGCGGCGGAGGACCCCCAGACCCTGGGACTCACCAGGCAGCCCCTGGTTCCGAGGTCCAGGACTAGATAGAGCCAACGCCCAGCCTTCCAGCGCACTGGGCGGGGTGGGCGCCGGACCGGGCGGGTCAGGTCTAGAGGGGTGGGCCGCTGCGCTGCACCCCCAGACACCGGCGAAGAGCCAACTCCTGTAGGTACTAAGAGGGGCGCTGCATGCCGGGGCTGGCGGGGAGGGGTGCAAATTGCAGGACGAGAAGGGAAACACTTGCCCCCTTGCCTGCAGTGCCTCCTGGCTCAGACTAGTGCCAGAGTCCAGTCTAGCAGTTCCGGGAGAGAGAGACTGTGCCCATTCTCTTCCTCTTCCCTTCCACCCATCCTCTTGTGCTCATAACTCCAGAAGCCAAGGGGGTGGAGTGGAGGGGTGGGGGTGGGGGGCAGGTGGGGAAGTGTCTGTAGGAGATGCTTCTGCCCCGAGGGGTCACTTGATCATTCATTCAACGAACATCCTCGAGCAAGCCAAGAGCTAGGACTCATCCTTGGCACCTCCCTGTCCTTCTCTGCCCTCATTAAAATACATCTTCATTTCCTGTCGATTCCTTTCCTAAATATCTTTCCAATCCACCATTCCTCTCCGTTCCCACCACCATCTCTCCCTTGGCTCCTACAACAGCCTTGTAGTTGGTTTTCCTAAACTCATTCTGGCCCTGCTACACTCCATCCCCGCCTCCCCCAATCCCCCCAGCACTCAGTCATCATTTCAACATGTAAGTCTGACATGCTATACTCCCTGCTTAAATCCCTCCATTGTCAGAAAAATACCTAGGCCTGATATCTGAGCCGAGTTTTGAATAAATAAGTTCAACAAGCAGAGAAGAGGGGGAAAAGGAAGGGAAGTGTGAAAATTCATGACACATTCAGGTTCCATGTCAAGGGAGCAACACTCTGTACAAATACTTAAAGCACTGCCTCTTCTATTGTTATTATTGTTGTTATCCGGTAAACTCTTTCTCACTAGTTTACTGGAAGAAACGTGCGCAGTGGTTAGGCACAAAGGCATGGTAGTCAGACCCTCTTGGGTTGTAAACCTAGCTCTGCGTCCAGCCAGCTATGCAAACATCTAATTTCTCTGATCCTGGATTTCCTTGCCCCTTAGATAGGAACAATTAATCCCTGCCTCTTATGAGATAATTCATGTAAAATGCTTAGAACAGGACTTAGGCACTTTGGAGATGTTCAATAAACATGACCTGTTTTGACTGTAATGGGTTCTGAGAAAGGGAAGAAACTGCTTTCTTCTACAAATTTCTGAAATTATAAAGTATGTCCTAATAGTTAATAGTTCTACACAGCTTATTATGCACCTGTCATTATTATAAGTACTTTGTGTATATTAACTCTTTTAATCCTCTTAACAATCTTGTGAGGTAAGTACTACTATTATTTCCATTTTACAGGTACAGATACTAAGATGCAGAGAAGTGAAGGGACTTGTCCAAGGCCATACAGCTAGTAAGTGATGGAGATGGAATCTGAACCCCAGTAGGCTGCCTCCAGAGACTGTGCTTACAACCACTACTCCGGGCCTGTTCTTCTTTTACCTTGTTGCAGTTTTCATCTTCCAGGAAATGTTTTGGTCAGTTGATTCCTACTCCTCATTAATGGATAGAATGGATACCTGGTCCCATTTGCCAGCACAGAGAAATAAGGCCAGTTCAGGAGCAGAGTGGATGAAAACTCAGCTCACACGGTTATCTCCCCCCTTTTCAGGCTCATCGCTAGAAACAAGACTCCATGGATTATTTTGAGCTGTCCCCAAGATAGTGACAGATCAGGAACCCCTGTCCTTTCTCTTCGCCAGATATTTCCCAGATGAAAGGGTGGAGAGGGAAGAAAGCATCCGAACTAGAAATAATGCAGGGGCTATGCTGGAAAAGTGTCGGCCAAGAGGAACCCAGACAGCGGACGTAGGAGTGGTGGCAAGAGGAGCTGAAAGGAGCAGTGGAAAAGCAGATGGCTTGGACTTCTGGCTTCCATCCAGGATGCAGAAAGCTGGGAAGAGCATCGCTCCCACACTGATAAATTTTTAAATTGTTAGGTAATCCATAAAGTTATAACTTTTGTTGAATCCATCAGAGAGTTGAGGTTGCAGAGCAACCAATTAACCTGAATTCCAGAGGACAGGAGTGTTAAAGAAAAAATGGGATGCAGGCACTGGCACACTTGTGAAGCAGGAGGAAGACAAGGTCTCCAGACAAGCAGGTAAGAAGAGTTCAGTTACAGGTTTCATTGAATTGCTAAAGGCCCAGTGTGGCTAGCGTGAGAGTGGGAGTTCACAGATACTAAAAGTAATCATGGAAACAAAAAAACCCAAACCTAGTTCAACTCCTGACAAGATTGATTCAGACCTCTACCCTAATGGCCTAAGAAGAGATATGACAGTTTCTTTTTTTAAAGTATGTTTTTAGCCCTGGACGGTTCTGCTCAGTGGTTAGAGCATCGGCCCATGGACCAGAGAGTCCTGGATTCAGTTCCTGCTAAGGGCACGTGTACCTTGGTTGCAGTTTGTCCCTGGCCTGGGTTGGGGTCGTGTGGGTGGCAACCAGTTGATATGTCTCTCTCACATCGATGTTTCTCTCTCTTCCTCCCTCTCTCCCTCCCACTCTATCTGAGGATAAATGCAAAAATGTCCTCGGGTGAGGATAAAAAATATATATGTTTTTATTGATTTGTTTAGAGAGACAGGAAGGGAGACAGAGATAGAAACATCAATGTGAGAGAGAAATACTGATCACCCCCCAACCGATAGTGAGGACAATGTGACAATTTCTAAGCATAAATAATATTGTCCTCATTCTCTACTGTTCTACTCATTATGTTCATAAATCAATAAAACACTATAACATATATACAAAAAGCAACTTTACAAAAACAAAAAACAAAAAGCCCTATTGTCAAGAGACAAATTAATCAACAGAACCAGAACCAGACTGAAGACCCAGATAACTCTGAAGTTATCTGACAGAGAATTTAAAACAATTGTAACAATATGTGAAAGGCCACTGTTGGAAAAAGTAGACAACATGTATAAACCGAAGGGGAATTTTAGCAGAGAGATGGAGACTATAAAAAAAGAGTCATATGGAAAATTCTAGGAATTTTAAAAACATGTAACAAAGATGAAGACTGCCTTTGGCAAGCTCATCAGTAAACTCAATACATCTGACAAAAAAATCAGTAAACTTGAAGATAGGTAAACAGAGACCACCCAAACTGAAACAGAAAGAGAAAAAAGAGTGAAGCAAAGCAAAACAAGAACAGAACAGAACATCCAAGAGCTTAAAAATGTGTAATTTGAATCCCAGAAGAAGAAATGCAGATAAACACACACACACACACACACACACACACACACACACACACACACAATATGACCTAACTATATAGTCAAACTGTTGAAAACCAAGGAAAAAATCATGAAGGCAGCTAGAGGAAAAAAATACACTACTTACAGAGGAACAAAGGTAAGAATTAAAGAAGACTTCTCATAAGAGGAGTTATATGATTAGAAATTATATGATCAGAAGACAACAGAATGTTATCTTTAAAATGCTGAAAGAAAAAACTATCTACCCAGAATTCTATACCCAGCAAAAATATCTTTTAAACTTGAAGGTGATACAAACACTTTTTTCAGATGAACAAAATAAAATTCATTACTAGCAGGTCAGCACTACAAGAAATGGTAAAGGAAGTTCTGGAGGCAGAAAGAATTTGATACCAAAGAGAAACCTGGATCTACATAAAGAAATGAAGATCTCTGGAAATGGATGAAATAAAGGTAAATATAAAATATTTTTCTGCCCTGGCCAGTTTGGCTCAGCAGTTAGAGTGTTGGCCTGCAGTCCAGAGAGACCCGGGTTCAGTTCCCTCTAAGGGCGCGTACCTCGGTTGCAGTTTGTCCCCAGCCCTGGTTGGTCATGCGGGTGGCAGCCACTCAATGTGTCCCTTTCATGTCGATGTTTCTCTCTCTCTCTCTTCCTCTCTCTCCCTCACACTCTATCTGAACAAAAAATGGAAAAATGTCCTCGGGTGAGGATAAAAAAATAAAATAAAGTATTACTTTGTTTTTAATCACCTTAAAAGATAATAGACTGTGTAAAGCAAAGAAAAGTGATCTGCAGATATATAAAAGGAAAATGTATGACAATAACAACAGTAAAAAAAATGATGGGATGAGGAATTGGAAGTATACTGTCAAAGGGCCCTTATGCTATTTAAGAAGTGTTATAATATTATTTGAAGACTGACTCGATTAATTAAAAATATATATTGTAAATACAAGGGCAACCACTAAAAAAAAAATTGAGAAGTATAACTCACAAGCCAATAGTGGAGATAAAATAGAATCATAAAAATATTGGGATGCATCCTACCTGGACCTCTTTGTTTTCAATATGACTGGTTGAGTATGTTAAGATTGCAAGGCCCTGACTTCTCTTTCACTTGGACCCTTACTCAGAATTATTAATACAGCTAGCAATTTTGAGAGGTGAGATCATGTGTTTCTCAAACAAAAGCAGGCTTGTTTATCGCTTGCTATAAAAGTGCTAGATGCGGGTTTCTAAGCCACAGTGCAAACCCACTTTATGTATACTGTGCATCTAGGAACTCTGTATCACTGGTTGGACTTAGAGCTGATGTTCATGTTGTTTGGTGTACTATTAGAAATATACTGTCTTGATTAGATACAGTCTCATTCTCTACTTTTTGTACCCATGAAGTTAAGGTTTTTCCCTGACAAACCACAATCAATCCAAAGTAAGGAAGAAAAAGAAGGAAAAAAAATGCAGAGATGAAAAAACATAAAACAAATAGTAAGATGGAAGAGTTTAATCCAAATGGTCAATTAAAAGACCAATTACTAGATTGAGGGAATAAAAGGAAGAGGCAAGAAACTCAATTTTATTATAAATAAATATATGGGTTAAAAGTAAATAGATGGAGTAAAATACCATACATACACTAATCAAAGCAAATTGGAGTGGCAGTATTAATGTCAGAAAAAGTAGACTTCAAAAGAAGAACTATTAACAGGGAAGAAGAGGGACATTACATAATGATAAAAGCTTCTATTCACTAAGAAGACTTAACAGACATAAACATATATACATCTAATAACAGAGCTTCAAAAATACATTAAGCAAAACCAAAAGATGTACAATAAGAAAGAGAAAAATCTACAATACAGTTATAAAACTCAAAGCTTCTCTCTCAGTAATCAGTAAAACAAATACTAGATAGACAGAAAAAAAGCTAAGGCTACAGAAAACCTGAACACTAGCAACTAACTTGTTCTGATTGATGTCTTATAACCCTTTTCCCCAAAACAGCAAAATAAACATTCTTTTCAAGTACACACAAACATTCACCGAAGATACATCATATTCTGGACCATAATGCAAACTTTAATAAATTTTAAAGAATTTAAATCATATAAAATATATTTTATGACTTTAAAAGAACTAAAATATAAATAATAACAGAACGATATCTGGAAAACAGTGCAACACATAGAAATAAAACACAACACTTCAAAATAACCCAAGTCAATGGCCCCGCCGGTGTGGCTCAGTGGTTGAGCACCGACCCATGCACCAAGAGGTCACCGGTTGGATTCCCGATTCCCAGTCAGGGCACATGTCCAGGTTGTGAGCTCGATCCTCAGTGTGGGGCATGTAGGAGGCGGCCAATCGATGTTCTCTCTCATCGATGTTTCTCTCTCTCTCCTCCCTTCTTCTCTCTCTAAAAATCAATAAAGAAAAAACAAAATTAAAAAATCAAAATAACCCAAGTCAAAAGGAAATTTTAAAATTATCTTGAATAAAATTAAAATGCAGCAGCCAGCTACCTAAAAAGCCCCATGTTCCTTGCCTTCTGTTTATTCAGACCTTTGTATAGTTCTCTTCTATACTATATTAAGATTAATCTATGTGACCAATAAGCATGGCAGAAGTGATGGTATATATTGCTTCCAAAATTAGGATTTTAAAAAGAAAGGGCCACAGCTTCCATCTTGGCTGTGTTCTCTATTGCTTGGATCACTCACTCTGGGGGAAGCAAACTACTACTTTGTCAAAAGCCTCACAGAGAGGCCCACATGGCAAGGAACTGAAGATTCCAGCCAGCAGCCAGAGGAGAACAGAGGCCTGCCAGCAACCACATGAGTGAGCATGGAAACAGTTTCATCGGCCCTCATAGGCCTAGAGATGATGCAGCCCTGGCCAGCAGCTTGACTGCAACCTCGTGAGAAACTGAGGCAGAACCATTCAGCTAGAGCATTCCTGGATTCCTGATGCTCAAAACCTTTGAGATAATAAATACTTCTTGTTTTAAACTGCTAATTTTGGGGATGATTTGCTTTGCAGACATAGATAGCACACAGAGATGTTGGCACTGGGGCAGAGGGCTGCTGTCACAGCACTCTAAAATATGGGAGTGGTGTTAGGACTGGGCAACAGCCTTTGAGAAGAGTGTAGTGAAAGCCTACTGTGCCTTGAAAAAGCTGTTACTCGAGGCCCTGGGCCTTTGATATGGTTGCAGTCAGTCACAGCATAGAGGAACGAGATATACACATTGGAAAGTGGGGGCAGAGGAATTCTTGTGATGTTGTGGCACAAAGTTTAGCAGCTCAGTTGCAGTAAAGTGGAAAGCAGAAAATGTGCCTGATGGGTTGAGTGATCTAGCTAAGGATACTTCCAAGTAAGGTGCTAAAGACGCCACCCGATCTCTTTTGCTGCTTATAGTAAATGCAAGTGGAGAGAGAGAGAGAAACTATAGCAGCAGTTCTCAAATGAGAGCAATGTTGCCTCCTGGGGGACATTTGGCAATGTCTGGAGACATTTTTGGTTGTCAAAACTGGAGGTTGCTACTGGCTTCTAGTTAGTGGAAGCCACGGATACTTAAATATCCTACAATGCACAAGACAATGTAAACAAAGTTTTACTGCAACACAACCATGCCCACTCATTTACATACTATCTATAGCTGCTTTCACACTACAGAAGCAGAGCTGAGCAGTTGCAACTATATGGCCTGTACAGAAGAACTTTCCTGACCCCTGGTCTAGCCTTAAGTAATGGAGATGTTAATAATGCAGGTTAAGTGTAAACATGTGTCCTGTCTATAACTGTTACATGTAAATAGCAACACACACCCACCCCCAAAATGAGAAAATATACTTCCAGTATTTGAAAACTATGATCCAATACAAGTAAGTTTCTCATTGATGAATGCGTGGAATTTCAACATCTTTGTTCTTTTATTTTTTTCACTTTTTCTTACTCTTAGTATAAATGAAAATATCGACATTCATGTTAGAACTACACTTGTTCATCCATTACCACTATAGACTGGCTATGGATACAAGAGTTAGGCACAATTAAAGATAAGGCACTGTAAGAATCAACTGGCTACACGGAACTTACAATAAAGAGTATTGTCAAATTTCATTATTTCAGATTTCTATTAGTAAAATTTATAAGAAACACATGCATGCCCTGGCCGGTTTGGCTCAGAGGTTAGAGTGTTGGCCTGCGGTCCAGAGAAACACACGCACACGCGCGCGCGTGCGCACACACACACACACACACACTGTTTTAGAGAGCCAATTATTGAACATTTACAAGCACACACTGTTTTGTTTGCCCTCCACTAGAATGTAAGTTCCTTAGGGTAGGAATTTTCTATTCCAGTACTCAGAACAACACTTGACATGTGACATGTACCCTGGGCATTTAACACATGTGATATAAATGAACAGATGAGCATAGTTGGGAACCCCTGGTTTCATGGGTTGACTGTTAGACCTTAGGTTTCCACCATTATCCAACTGTATGGATAATGTTATTTAACCTCTTTGAACCTTGGCTTCTTCATTAAAAGGGGATAATCCTCTTACCTCACAGGGAGGTGGTAACAACATATGCCTCTGCCTGGCTTTCTCCTCATATGGGAGTTCCTTCCTCACCCTCCACCCCTGCCACATACACACTCCTTGGAGACCCAGCCGCTGTTGTCACACATTTCAGTGATGTCACAGCTCCCCTCCCTGGGAGCTGCAGCGCAACCATCCAAATGGCCAGCCTGTGTGCTGGCTGAATTGAGAGGGGCAGGGCTCAGGCAGTACCTGGACCAGTCTTGCTCCATCTGTTTTTGAGGCGTCACAACCCCAGCATGAGTCCATCAGCAAAGAAGAGGCCCCGGAATAGTGTGGGTTCCAAGGTGGGACTAGGGACTGGAGCTAGAGGGGTCCTTACAAAGAGTCCAACCACACGGACGCAGGTGGAGGGAAAGGGAGTGCCGAAGGGTGAAGGGAGGTCAGGAGAGTTAGAATGATCTCCCTATTTCTGCCCCCAAACCGAGTTGACAAAACTGTCAAATCGTGCTGAGTCACATGGAGAGGCATAAGGGAGGTGTTGGGAGGGGGTTCCTCCTGTGTCAGCACTTGCCCCTCTCTCTCAGATGCAAGATGAGGAACCACACAAGATACAGCAGCCTGTCAGCAAATTATTTAAGTGGAACCGACTTAAAATGGTAAGAGGCCCCATCGTGGCCCGGCCGAGAGAGCCCCAGCCCCCATGCAGTCCTGCTCCGGCTGCATGAACAAGTGACCCGGAACAAGTCGCCCGGCTGAGTTGAGCGAAAGTCTGGATGGTGAGTGGGAGGCTATCACAGAACTGAAGCATCTGTTTTTTGTTGTTTTTTTATTTCTCTACTCTGACAGGTGTTAAAAAACTTGTCGCTCTTGAGGCTACTCAAGAACTCAAACCCCCGGATCCAAGAACTGCATAACCTGGCCAAAAGGTGTTGGAATTCACCGTTCAAAGTTCAGAAGGTCCTCCTGATCTCTAGGTGAGCTAAGCCCACCCACAGCCCCCACATGGGCCCAACATCTATCTCTACTAGGAACAGACACTGTGCTAAGGAAAGAATTTTCACAAAGGCTCTGTATATGAGCCCTATTTTACTAATAAAAAGCTGCGGCTCAGGAGATGAAGTGACTTGTCCCAGTTACCTGACCTGGTAAGTGACAGAACTAGGATTTGAAGCCATTCCTGTCTATCATCAGAGCTGTGATCATAACCATGGTCATAACCGTGCAGTTATGGGACTAACTACCACCTGGGGCCCTGAGCAGGGTGGGCACCCCTCTCTTCCCCCTCTCAAGTCAACACAACCCCAACATTCACCTGCAGACTAGGCATCTTGCTGAGGCTCAGATTCCTCATCAGTCACATCAGAATGTTAAGAAAACTCACCTGCTTTATTAGGCCCCTGCTAAGTACCGGATACTGTGCCATTGACCAATACCACACACCCGTTCTTTACAAGCATTGTCCCATTTAGTTTATTCTTCACAACAATCCTATTTAGGTAGACAGAATTATCCCAATTTTACTGATGACGAAACCAAGGCTCTGAGAGGTTACATTTCTTGCCCCAAATCACACAGAGAGTAAGAGGCAGAAGCAAATTTGATCCCAGGTTGCCTGTCTCAAAAGCCTGTGCTCTCCAAGCCACTTCACGGCCTCCTCCTGTGCAGGACTGTCGTGAGGGTCCCGGGCCTCACACATAGTGGGCGCTCAATCAGCGCAGGCCATTATCATCCGCAGTATTGTCACCATCTTGAGCCCAAGGCCTCGCTGCTCTCCACACACTCAGCTAGGCTGGTGCTGCCACTTTGCAGGGGACCCAGTCTATTACAGACACCCTTGGGGAAAGTCCCTTCCAGTGCTTCTGGGTAACTCCACCTCTCTGGGCTCCTCTCTCTCAGTTGGCCTCCTAGATGCAAGCCAGAGGATCAAGATCGTCTAGTCTCTGATAATTTTCCAAACTTTTCAAAGCAGCAGAACCTCTCTTCAAAATCTTTTCCCAAGCCTTAATTGTGTTGTGTGTGTGTGTTGGCAGGGAGGGGGTCTCCTGCCTTCACCCTGCCCCTGGAGAGGGGATGGGGGGATTCCTCAGAACCCTCAGGTTTCTTGGAACACAATTTGAAATAAACAACATCGGACTAGTTCACCCCATCCACTGAAACCCAGAGAGGCAGAACCCTAACCTGCATTTGATGCAGACTACCCATGTTCCTAGGCGTCCTACCTACTAGTCACTGCCTTTGCCTTCCCAACCTCTCACATCCCTGTGGCCAGTGTGTATCACATCCCTGCCCCCAGGTGTGAGGCCTCTGGGGGGTAGAGGAGGTCTCTTCCAGGCTCTCGCTAGCTTTCTCCACGGGCTCCCCCGAGCGTCTGCACACTATCTCAGGGCCAGGCTGGAGGACCAGGCCTCAGTCCTGCTCTCTGACTGCTGTTCCTCCCCTTGCCAGGGACACGGTCCGTGCTCAAGTGGACCAGAACAAGGCGGAGCCCCAGGAGGCCTGCTACTCCAAGAAGAAACTGGAGTCAAAGACCTTGGGGAAGCCTAAGGAGTCAAAGCCCAAGGAGGGGTTGCCAGAGAGGAAGGCCAGGCAGTCGTGTACGGCAGTGCCAGAGAGAGAAAAACAGGTGAAGCCTGAAGGCCTGATGACTTTGAGGGGTCATGGCCAGACCACTTGCCCTGGAGCCTGGGGGAGGCACCTACTCACTGGGGACCCTGGAGTTGTCTTCCCGAAGACCCACCATGGGCACAAGGAGCAGCTGGAAGGAGCCGACCAGAGGAACTGGTTTGAGGGGCTGCCCACGCGAGTCCACCTCCCAGGACCCCGGGTGATGTGCAGATCATCCACCCTGCGCTTCGTCAAGCGCTGCTGCACCCGCTTCTGCTCTGCGTCACTTGAGCTGCCTATGTGCCATCCATACAGGGTGTGACAACACCGCTGCCGGGCCAGGTGCGATGCAGGCCCCAAGCCAGACCCAGAGCTGGGCCCCAGAATCAGAGGGCCCAGGACCCAGGGGGCTGTGGCTGGCAGTGCTGGGAGGCCCCAACTTCATGCCTAGAAAGGGAAGCTCAGAGAGGGGGAAGCCATTGACCAAGACCACACACAGGCCCACTGGCTAGGCTGGAGCCTCTCAGGACCCAACTAGGGGCCCTAGGGAAGGAGAGGCACTCTGGGAGTGTGGATTCTGAGGGAGATCCTGTTGCCGGGAAGCCTCGGGAGGGGCCACGACTGCTATGACTCAAAATCTCACAGAAATCTGAGTAAGCAGTTTAGGAATTTAAGTGTGGGGGAAGACAATGTGGGCAAGTAGGGCTCTGCCACATCCCATCCCCTCTCAGTCCAAATCAGCTCTCCATTTGTTTTATTTATTCATGCTTCAAGTAAGATTTACTCTGAAAAAGTTCCTTAGCACGAAAAAGAAAGAAAGCACCCCAGGCCCTCCAAGAGAGAATTCAGGTCCCAGGAAAGGAAGGGGGTGTGGGCCCATATCCAACCTGCCAGACCTCGCTGCGCCCGCTCCCTAAGCCCTCTCCCTAAGCCCTCTCCCTGGACGGCAGCGCCCCCTGGGGGCGATCTTAGCTCCTAACACGAAGGTCTCTGCTCGCAGGTGTGTGACCTCGGATGGGAGCCAGAGTGTGAGCAGAAGGCGGAGATTGTACAATCATGTGAATGGGAGGGTTGGACGGGAAAATTCGCGAGTATACAAATAAAACCTCCCATATGGCAATGAAGAACACTTCTGCTGGCTCTGCCTGTTTGCCTGGGGCTGGAAAGGCCGGAGAAAAGAGGCCCTCCGTGGAGGTGGGGGAAGAGTGTGCATGGACTTCAGGCCTCTTCCACCCCAACCCCAGGCCCCTAAGGTAAGTCTAGAACCCGGAACAAAGAAGTCAGAGAGCTTCACCCCTCTCTACCTCCCTGAGCTGGCCTCCTGAGTGGTGTACTCTATGAAGTCATAGAAAGGGAACATTTCCTGGGTGCTTTCTGGGTGTTTCCTGGGTGCCAGATGCCTCACAATGGCCCTGCAAGCTCAGGAGAGAAGGCAACCACTGTGCAGAGAGGGAAGGTACTTGCCCAGGCTCTCACAGCTAGGAGCGGTGGTGGAGTAAGAAGCTAATGTCGGTCTCCTGGCTGCTCCCCCTTCCCTTTCCAGAAGAAAGGAAAAAGGCCCAGGGGAGCATCCATCCAGCCCTTCATGTGCATTGCTCCCTGATTATCACAGCATCTGGTGTCAATACATGGGTGTTGCTGGGCCCCACCTGAGTCACAGGTCACAGAAAGATGGAGTCAGGCCGGGACCTGGTACCGTGTTCCTACTGCTCCCATGAGACATGGCACGCACATCATCCAACTCCAAGCCGTGGTCCACCCACCCAGTCGGAGTCACCCTCTGTTGGTAGAAGCTATAGGGCCCTGAACATGCAGTTGGGAAGAAAGGTCGGTCTTTCTCGAAGACTATAATCCTCCGTACTCCTTCCCCTAGAGGCAGGATGCATTGAATAGGTGCCTCAAGGAAAGCAGTGGAGCCTTCCAGGGGCCCAGAGTCCCACCTCACCTCACCCCAACCCTGGGGGAGCCAGGGCAGTTGATGGAGAGGGATGCTCAGATTGGGAGAGAGGGAAAAGGATAGGAGGGGCTCCCCTTGAACCCTCCTACTTGAAACTCTCCACCCTACTGGTGCTCAGCACCATGATGAGCATCCAGCAGAATGGACCTTGTTTCCCTTGGAGCAGCAAGACAGCCTGGGTGCCCTGCACAGAAATGCTCTAGACTGCAAGCTCTGCCTGGGTAAGGAGGCGGGCAGCACTCCCTCCATCTTGCCACAGTGCTGCTCCCCTACTTACCATGCGTCCCCTGCCCCACCCCCCTCCCAGCCCCCACCACTTCTAATCAATCGCCACCCCAGCAACCTCTGCTTCAAGCTGTCTTCCCACTCAGATTGCATCCCAGCCTAGTTCTGAGTCTCCGTTTCAGTTCCCTTGGATGTCATCAATCCATCAGCCTTTGAAAAGAACCTCTACTAGATCTTTCCTCTCGAGCACTTTCCATTCCATCACCCCCCATTCATGTGCACTTCCTTCTTGCCCTCGCAGCAGGCAGGTGGTCAGGGCAGTTCGCTCCCAACCAAAACAAAAGACCTGTTGGGGGGCCCCTGCACTATTCTTTGTGGGACCCTACCCAGGGAACCCCAACTGGGGGCCCAGAAAGATCAGCAGCTTAGGCTTTGCCCCAAGGGAGCCAGAGCTGCCCACAGGCAAGGTCATGAAGCAGACAGGAGCCGGGCCAGGCCCCCTGTGACTCCTAGCAGGGGCACTGCCCAGCCTTAGCCCCACCTGCACTGGCACTGGGTCCTCAGACAACCTGCCTACCACAACCCCACAACTGGAATCTCCCCACAATACCCTCCCTTTGTTTAACCACTTCAATCTGAGGCTCTTCTTCTGGGCTCAGATCCTGATTTGGGCAGGAGGCTGCAACGGGGATCAGAAACCACCCCAGAAATGGTTCCCTAACAGTTAAGTGCATGGGGAGGGAGATTCAAGTGTTTGAGTGATTTTTAACAAGTCACATGACCTCTCTGAGGCTATTTCATCTGTTTACTAAATAGAGAACTAATATCCATTCCAGACGGCTCGGAGCCAATCAGGCTTGATGCAGGCAAGGCCGGTTTATGGGGTACTGAGCAAATGTCTGGCCTGTTTTCCTTGCCTTCTCCCTGGCCCTGCACCATTAATAAAGCCCTGAGGCTGGCACTGGTCCTGTTTCTCACTTAGGAGCAGCTGCCTAACTGCCCACTGCAGGGAACTGGCTGCTTTGAAAAAGCCAATCCTATGTTCATATCCACCTTTTGCTGAGATGGCATCCGGGTTCCCGAGACTGTCCTTCTCCCACTCAAACACGACTGGACCATGAAAATATGAAGCTACAGAAGCAAACAGGCATAGCTTCTTACCCTCAATTTACTCCTTATCCTCAATTTGTCTGCAAAATGAGGAAAATATTGGCGCCTTATCTCATTGGGTTAAGTGAGAATATACATAAGTCACTTTGCAGTGCATGGCACACAGGAGCTCAGTACTTGCTGGCTCAGAAAAAAGGTGTGTCCTCTGTTAAAAGGGGGGGAGGGGCAATAACTATAACTTAGATTTATGGATCACTTCCTGTAAGCACCGGGCCCAGTGCTGAGTGCTTCAAACATGATGACTCAGTGGATCCTCACAACCACCCAGGGAAGTAATACTATTATCCTCAGTTGACAAATGAGGAAACCGAGATAGGGAAAGGTGGCTAGCTTATCCAAGGTCTCACAGCTAGTAATGGGACTCTAGGACTTAACCGGGAACTCCATGATAGCTCTCAAGCCTTCCATATTAGACCCCTCGGATTCTGACTTACCCAGATAGGGGCAGGGCAGGGACTAAAACTCTCTACGCCCTCATCTCAAAGCTATATAAATAACAATAGAGGTTATTTATTACTAAAATGACATCACTGCCATTGTCCAATTCTCTCTGGAACTTGCCTGTAAATACTGCTTTTATTGTTACTTTACAAAAAAACAAAAACAAACAAAACAATTCATTAAAGTCACATATTTTTGACCTCATTGTTCAGCTCAGTCATTGTATTATTATTTTTTTAATTGACTCCCCTGACTTTTGGCAGTATCCAAAAACCAAATTAACACTCAGGGAGCAGAGATTGATCATAGGAAATACGCAGAATGGCACAGCTCCTGAAGGAAACCCCCAAAGAGGTGTGCCATCACAGCTGCAGCAACCACCACAGGTGACCAAAAGAAATGGCAGCCACATGATGAGTGTGCTTATGGCTTTCTCAAAATAAAGTTAGTCACGTGCCATTAGAGTTTGCGGTGTCTGGAGGGAAATCCACCTAGGGGAAGTCATCTTAGCTGGTATTGCCTCTCGGACCCTGCAGCCAGGGTTATATTACCAAGCTGCTTCCTTCCAGCTTAGCCAGAGCACCCTGAGTATGGAGATGCCTCACCCAGCACTTTCCCAGCCTCTGTCCAGGCACATTCACTCTTAAACCTTCATCTTGTCAGCCTCAAAGCCCTACTCTGGAGGGCTGGGGGCCAGGAGGCTAGAAAGGATTCCTGGGGGGATGCAAAACTCATCTGTGTAGCCCTCACATTAAAAGTTGAAAACTGACAGCTCTCCTGGGCAGACTCCAGAGGACCCAAAGAGGAACACCAATGGTTTCAATGCAGAAGTGGGTCTAGACCAGTGTGTTCCACTGGATGTTCAGAAATCACCAGCAAGTGAGAAAGGAATCCTGAGAGTCATGGCAGTTCACCCCAGGTGTAGCAGAGGAGGCTGCAGGTGGAGAGGGTGGGACACAGGTCTTCCCTGTACTTAACCAAATGAAAGAAGAATCTGGGTCCAGGAAATGAGAAGGTGACCTAATAATTCCTTATATACAGCTCCCTTGCCTGGCTGTGCTGATCTCTCACAGCCCCAAAGCATTACAAAGTAAGTACCGGCAGAACTGTGGAAAATACTGTATTTATGTACACAGGAAGGACAGTTATACGCCCCTCACAGAGGACACTCCACCCCCAAGAAAAATCTTAACAGCAAATTCCTATCTCCCTTGGCACTGTCAAGGTTGGGCTTCCTGTCTCGGCACCCATCATGCCCCTCCCACTGCAGAATTCCAAATAAGTCAGGAAAAGGACCTATTGCCAGAACTGATGTCCAGTGGGAGCTGAGCTGCCTGATCATTCCCAGAGATTCTACTACAAGGGTTAGACTGGGAACAATGCTGGGGCTCTTCTCTGGGTCCTAAGGCCAACCGTGCTGAAAGCTGGCCGCAGGGTGGGGACCCAGTAGAGAAACCTTGAAGTCAGTCAGTCATGGGTTCATGGGTGCACGCACACATGCATGTAGTAGGACACGGGTTGTGCATTTTCCTTGTGCTTGATTGCCTCCAGCTGCCATCCTCTCCGATTGCAGCCTAATACTTTGCACCTGCGTCTTTTTCTGTGGCTATGAATCCAGACATCAAGCGTTTCTCCAAACAGAATAGCTGTGGTTCGGCAACATGACAAAGGTAACAGCTGTCCCAGGGAGATAAGACAGATGACTAGAAGAGTGGTTTGCTTCAATCAAATATCCTTGATTTTTTTCTTTTTTAAAATAACAGGCTGGTGACAGGTATGATGGCTCAAGAGTGACATGGTTCCAATTCTGTTATTACCCTGAGAGAGGTCCCCTTGCTGATCTCCCAGATACCAAATTCAGATCTCTTTGCTGACCTCCCAGATACCAAGGCTTCAGCAGACAGAGGCCATTCTTGCAGCTGTGATCCTGACTGCGACCTGCCTTCTCGACGGGCCTCACTATCTCTCCCACACCAACAGACTTCACATTTCCAGGGTTCCTCTCAGACCAGGGCTGGACCTCAGCTGGAGGGTCTGAGCAGCCCAACGTGTAGGGGGGCCAACGGCCCAGCAGGGTGTCCAATGGACCCAATTCTAGACATTGGATTTAGGGGCTGAGTTGAGGGGGATCTCCTTGAGCTCCGTCCGCATGCACAGGTACTCCCCGATGACAGCCATGAGCGCAATGCACACGGCTTGGACCAGCCACCAGGTCAGCGCCGAGGGGAAACGGGAGCTGTAGAACCAGCAGCCCAGGAGGTGAAAGAAATGGACAGTGACAGTGAAATCCAGACACTGCTTCCCTCGCCGGATGAAGTACAGCAAGCCCAGGGCACTGTGGGGAGAGGACAGCAGTGAGTTGTCACTGGGTTGTCCTGGCCTTAGATTAGGTTATTTGGGGAGTGGGGACAATTAGGATGACAGCACAGAGATCAGAAGCAATCAAGATAAGTGTGAAGCATGGGTTACACTATTAGATGCCTAGAGGAACCTGTCAGGTAATGCTGAGCGTGAGTCAGGCTGGGTAGAAGAAAAACAAAAGTACGAGCTTGATGATAAATGGCAACTGTCACTCGGGGCAATCCTAGGGATTGGTGGGAATTATGGCACCCTGAAGCATACATGTTCCATGTGGGACCAAGGGCTACTTGCAGCTGGATAAATCATCATGCTAGAAGTCTGGCCTAGAATCAATCCTCCCCTTTTCCAACAGGAGCCCGAAATCTGGATTTTTTTATATATAAAATATTCTGACTTTCAACTAAGTGGAAAAATGTTTTAAACTCCATGCAGGTACTGACAACTGTGTAAGCCAAACAGAACACATTTGGGAGCCAAACTGGAGTCAGCCCACCAGTTTTCAACATCCAGTGTAAGGTCAAGAGTAGTCATGTGTAAGGTACTGTTCTAAGTAGTTCCATGAATTAGCTCATTTAATCCTTACAACTATGAGATGGGTAATATTACTGACCTCATTTTACTGATGAGAAAACTGGAGTTTAGACAGATTAATTTGTCCATAGTCACTAGACTAGTGGTAAGGCTGAGGTTCAAAGCCAAGTAAGTCTGCATCCAGAGCTTGAGATCTTAATCACTATGCTAACCTGCCTCTCAAGAGAAAGGCAATAGTCATGAGTGACATTAGATGTTACCCAGTGAAACCCCTCAGTGTACAGATGAGGAGCTTGAGGCCCAGAGAGAAGGGAAATAACTTGGCCAGTGGCACACAGATCAAGAACAGAATCCAGTTCTCCTGATTCCCAATCTACTCCTTTCCTCAGCACATCGGGGAAGTGACCTGAGACAGAAGCTGTCCCATAGGCAGCATGCACAGAGTGACATAGAGCTTTCTAGCTAAGTCCAAACAGTGATGAAAGAAGCACAGTGATAGAGCCAGTCCCAGAATTGGCCTCTGCCACCCACTTTAGTCCACCACTCCTCAGGAACAAATGCCAGCCTGGCTCATGTCCAAATTTAGGAAGTTAGTTCCAGTGCTAAGACCCCAAAAGCTGGACAGCAAAACTGGTGATACTCACCAGGTGAGGGCGTTGAGGATGAAGGACATCATGGAGAGCCGGCCTGAAGGGGTGGAAAAGCCCAGGATCTGAGGGGGAATCACAAATGGAAACATGCTGGAGAAGTGACTTGGTAGAGCCCCAGGCTCCAGGACCTCAGCCAGCCTCCTAAGGGACTCTTCCCAGAGTATAAAAGACAGTACGGTCCTTCATCTGTATGGCAGCCTATTTCCACAGGGTGCTTTCATAGACATCCATTATGGTATCTCATCTGAACCCTCACAGCAGCTGGGAAGGGGCTATTAATCCTCATCTTACAAAAGAGGAATAAAAGCTCAGAGAAGTAACTTGCCCAAAGTGATATAGTAAGTAAACAGCAAGAGCAAGGTCTAGAACCAGCGATCAGCGAACTATGGTTCCAGGGGTCAGGCACCTATTTTTGTAAGTAAAGTTTATTGAAACACAGCCACACTTACTCACTTAGTATTGCCTACGGCTGCTATTGCACTACAATGGCAGATTGAGTGGTTGTGACTTGAAATCTTTACTAGCTAATCCCTTAAGAAAAGGTTTACCCACTCCTGGTCTAGAATTCAGGTTGTGTGTGCATGAGATGGCTCTTCAACAAAGCCTAGGATCCCCACATTCCCAGGAGGACAGAGACTCCTAAGAGGGGACTACTGGGCACCTGTGGGTATGCAACCTCCAGCACTTTGACACAATACTACTGAATACCAAACATCTGCACAAAACTTCCAGCTTACAAGGACCTTTGATATCCACAGTCTCATGTTATCCTCACAACAATCTCACACAGCTATTATTTTTGTTGTTGTTATTCTTACCTCTTTTTGGATAAAACTTACCCCAGGGCTACACAGAGAATAAGCAACAGGAGTCAGGATTCCATCCCAGACCTCACAGCTCCAAGAACAGTGCTCCCTGCCTCACACCACAGCTACCTCTCAGATGCAAACACCTCTTATGCCCCTCATTGCCCGTTATAAAGTACTTCCATATTCCTAGGCCCCTTTGGGCCTCATAACACTTTGCTGAAGATCATTCTGTCCGGTTTCCAGGGCGGAAACAGGCTCAGAAAGGTGAAATGGTGCAACAACTGTCCAAAGTCCCATAGCTAGTACGTCTGGGCCTAGGGCGAATACCTAGCCTTTTTGAACGAAAAATACAGGCTCTCTGTACTGCAGTCAAGACCTCTCTCTCCTCATCTCATGATTTTGCAAACTGAGGTTCAAAAATATGACGACACTTGCCCCAAGTCACACAGCTAGTAAGTGGAACTTAAACGGAGGCCGACTTCAAAGTCCAGGCAGTTCCCATTACACCTCTTTGAATACTCTTTCATCCTTCCTCCTCCCCAGTCTGGCACCTGAGAATCTGGGGGCTCAGACAAGTTAAGTCACTTTCTCAAGAGTGTCAGAAAGGAGATGGATCCGGCTGCCTAGAACGCTGGCTTGTTTAACATCCAGCCCCTTTCCTTTGTACTAAATCAGCCTCTGTTATCAGCCGTTCCACTTTACAGATAGGGCAGCCGATGCTCGGCAAGGTGAGATCCCCTCCCCAGGGTCACAAAGCTAGACGGTGGCCCGGCCAGGTCTAGAGCCCAGGCGTGTCGGGACACACAGCTCACTCTGTGAGGCCGAGGCCCCGCCCGCGCCCGCGCCCACCCGAGGACCCTACCTCGGCGTCGAACATCTGGTCCAGCGAGGGGCTGCCGCGCAACAGCCCGTCCACCAGCGCCAGCCACAGGCCCAGAGAGCCGTAATAGACGTTCTGCATGAGGACGATCTGCGACAGGATCAGCACCGGATCCCACACGTAGCTGCGGAACTGGCCCGCCATGCCAGCCCGCGGGGCCCGGCCTCTGCCCGGGGCCTGAGTCAGCGCAGCCGCGCCATGGGCTCTGGGACGCCCCAGCACCTGCGAGGACACAAGCGGAGCCTCAGCCAGCCGGCCGTCACCATGGCAACACCACCCAGCCCGGGAGGAGGGGCTGGAACAGAGGGGGCCAGCCCATTTCGGGAGTGGGGAGGGAGGGCAGGGCGGACAGACCCATTCCCAAAGTGAGGAGAAATCCTCCCGTCCAGCTGCTCGGCCCCACCCGTACTCAAGCTCCCTTGGGGTTCACTCACGGGTGACCGAGTCGAGGATCGAAGCGACCCAGTGCGGCCCAGCCTGCCTCACCGGCCGACCCCCGAAACAGTCCTGACAGACAGGACCATGGAGGAGAGGCCCTGCTGGCCTAGAGAGGCAAAGCTCCAGCGATCCCGGAGGCTGTGGCGGCTGCGTAAGAAGGAAGCGTTTCCGGGGACGGCGGAGAAGGGGCGGGGCTGAGACTGCGCAGGCGTAGTGGGTGCAAGCTTCGGCTGCGCCACCTAAACGAGGGCAGGGCCGCGTTAGCGAGGTGTGCGCATGCGTAAAATGAAGATTGGGCGATCGGAAGTGAGACACGAGGACCGTAGAGCTTGCGTGCCCTCTAGAGGGCAATTTTGAAGAAAAAGAGAGCAACTATGAGAAGGAAGAGAGGTGGCCAAGGGCGATGAAATGTTGACTCTTCGGCAAAAATTTCCAGTATTTTCTTTCCCCTAAAGTCTGGAATACTTGAAATGAATTTAACAGCTTTTCCACATATGATTTTGCCACTGTTCGCGTTTCACAGATGAATAAGGGTCAGAGGAAGAAAGCATTATACTGTCCGTCTCAAGACGTAAGAGTTAGTGGCAGTCGGGGTTGGAATTCAGGTGTTGCCAACACCGGTCATTGATTCTGTACCTACTGGGTGCCAGGGAAGATTGGACTCATGTTAAAGAGAATCCTTGCCCTCAGACAAAACCTAATGAGAAGGCAGCGTGTGGGTGTTTTATCATGTATTCATGTATACTTAAAATGGGAGGGAAGAAAAACACAATAAAAAGAAAGACACAGGTTCAGAAGTCCTGGAGGACCTGGGAGCACATCGCTGTTTTCTCTCAGCCTTCTCTTCTGAGTCCAGATAGTGTGGACAGTCAGTAAATATTTGCTGAATGAGTCAAGAGTGGAGAAAGGGCAGCAGCAAACTGATGAGTCACTTTATTCCTGCACCAGCAGACTGAAACCCCTCAACTTCATTGATAATAAGTTCCCCCTCTCCAGAATGGAAAGAAGGGAAGTAACTGGTTGTGGGAAAGGGACTTGGATTTTCCAGCCAGCTCTACTAGCTAAGTGACTAGCAAGCCACTTCCTTCTTTGAACTCAACTTCCCTGTTCATGAAATGGGGAGTTGGGCAACATTGTTTCCAACATTTAATCTACCCTCCTGCTAATTATTTTCCCATTAACAAAACAGTATCAAAGACCCATGTAACTACCAATCAGAACTTCTGAACAGCATGTGACAACCGTGAGTTGATACAATTCCAGACAAACGTAAAGAAACTTGAGACTTTATCAGGAGTATGTGATTTCCTTTATCATTTGGAAATACTGTAAACAATTCACTTGGACTCCAGTTTTGAAGTTATTAAGGCCTAAAGATTTCTGAGGGACTTTCCAGTTCAACCATTCTCTTAGGTTCCTCAAATTGGTTCAATAAAAATACAGGGGTGGGTGCACCCCGCACTGCGTTCACCCTCTCCACCTCCACCTGTTGCTCACCCAAGTCCACACCACTGTGCCCTGACATGGCTGGCAAAGCACACATGCTAAGTGTTGAGGAGAGGGACCAGCTGCTGCCAAACCTGAGGACTGCGGGGTGGAATGAGCTGGAAGGCCAAGATGCCACCTGCAAGCAGTTCCATTTCAAAGACTTAACAGGGCTTTTAGCTTCGTGACAAGAGTGGCCCTGCAGGCTGAGAAACTGGACCACCATCCTGAATGATGTAACGTGTACAACAAGGTCCACATCACCCTGAGCACCCGTGAGTGTGCAGGCCTGTCAGAATGGACCCTGGCTGGCTTCATCGAACAAGTAGCAGTGTCCATGGCTTAGACTCTGCCTTTCCTCTTTGAATTCTTCAGGGTAAGAGGTGACTGAACTGGAAATCCAGAGAGAACAGGGGGCCCCAATATGTTGCTGCAGTCAATATTGCCAAGTCCACCCTGTTGCCTTCATTTAGGGGTGAGTCCTTGCTGTGGACAGAGATGCCAGCATCACTGCCAACACCAGGAACTTAGACCGTTTCCCCCCACACCATGTTCTTCATTCTTCGGGCTCTATTAAATGTACACAAATTTGGAAAAGAGCTTCCCATTCTTTCCAGCTTTCCAGCAACAGTAATGCTATTCTTTCCAGGCTGTATCTTGCTCCCCTTCTAATTCATTTCCCAAGAAGCTGTGATAGAAGCTGTGTCTAAGATAGACAAAATCTTGTCTTAGAAACCAGAACCCTCATGCCAACCCCTCTGTGTGATAGAAACACGTGCCTTTATGCCTCAAATAAAATCATTGTTTCGCTTGGGGAAAAAATACAGGGGTGAGCAAAAGTAGTAATAGTAATAAATAACACAACAATAAATAACTAATAATATAAGAATAAACTGTTTCACAGACTCACAACTGTAAACCTACTTTTTGCCCCCCCCCCCCCCCCCCCGTCTATATTTAAATCTCTCTGGTCTCTACTTACATGATCCAGTGTTTCTGAGAAAACATCTGTTTAGGTACCTACATGATCTTGTTTCACCCTCACAATCCAAGAAGATAGATATTATTCTCGTTTTGGAAGTGGAAACTGAGGCTCAGAGAGGGGGTGACTCTATCTAGGTCAGAGAGCTCATAGGAAGCTGAGCTGAGATTCAAACCCAGGACATCTGACTCTAAACACCGAGATACCAGTCCGGAAGAAAAATAGGAAAGAAACGGAAACGAGTAGTGGAGTAGCGGGAGATGGAAAGGGAGCAGTGAGCCCCCCGACTCGGGTAGCTTTGGGGTAAAGGATTGAGGTGGTGGGAGGAGAGCCCCGGGAAAAGTACTTGAGAGGTTTAACTTAGTTCCTGGAAGCAGGTTCGTCTTCCTTCTAGGTACTGGAATGTGTGGCTCTTCCTGAGGCGCGTCCCCTGACGTCACAGCTGGTCCTTGTCCAGCATGTCTCCTCCCACGGAGGGAAGGCTCTCCCTACCCACTCTCCTGAAATGGAAAACACAGGTAGCCTGGAGCCGAGGCGTTGGGGCAGGCTGGATAGCTGGTGCTGGTATCTGACATTATGCTTAGAGCCTGGAATTTTGCTGGTATCTGACGTCATCCTTAGAGCTTGGAATTTGTTTCTGGGAAACCCCCGAGGGCCAGCAGGACCGCCTAGTGCAGTTTCCTTTTCCATGGAGGATTCCAGCTCTTGAATTCTCACCATTCCTAGGCCCAGAAATGGGCACCATTCTGTGTTTTTATTAAGGTGCAACAAGGAAACCAAGCACTGGGGAAAACCACAGTAACCCTTGGCCAGCCTCTTGGGTTTGTTTTAAGAATGTGACCACAGGCAGCTGGAGAATAAAGAATGAGCTTTGGGTTCAGACCACAAAGCCTGCGCTAGGAGTACACTGACGTGTCATGTGACCTTAGGCAAATCCCATGCTGGTTCTTAGTATCCGAAACTAGAAAACAAAAGAGGGGCATTGGACTCAACTTGCAAATGCAGTCCATGGCCCTGTTGCATCTGAATCACCCATGGAGCATATCACGTAGTCAGATTCCTAGGCCTTGTGGCAAACCAAAGTCTGAATCTCCAGAAGCAGAGTGCAGAAATCTGTGTATGTAAAGAGCTTGCCAAATGATTCAGAGGTACAGCTATATTTGGTAATTACAGAACAAGATGATCTGTAATTGACTTCAAACCAACTGTCCTAACAGAAAATTGCTCTGTGACCTTGCCATGTACGCGTCTGTCTTTGGACCTCAGGGGTTTTTTTTCCATCTGTAATATGAGGGGGTTGGACTAGAATAGCTGATCTCCAAGGTCCCTTCTCTCGTGGCCAAGTTTGTGATTACAAACTTATGAATGAAATTTTAAACTTTAGGTCAGAGGCAGAATGCCAAACAGCCACAGGCTGGGACAAACTGTCCCCCGGGAGTGCCTCTGCTCACTTGGTGACGTCACTTACGTCACTCCCTCACTCGGCTCCCACTATGGTCAAGTAAGAACAACTGCTGCTGGGGTAACTTTCCAGATCCACCCCCACGAATCCCTTGGGAAATGTCCTCAAACAGGTCTAAGGGCTTTGGAGCCCTGCTTGTATTCAAATCCTGGCTCTACTACTGTCTTGCTGGGTGACCTTGGGGGAGTGATTTCATCTTTCTGAGTCTCGGTTTCTTCTTCTATGAAATGAGGGTCAGAATATTCCCATGTCATGGGCTGTCCTGAGGGTTAAATGTGTGCTTACCTCACCGCCTGGCAATAGCATTATGTAAATGTTAACAATATTAATTATTGTTATTTTTCTTCTGTTGGAATGTGTGAGTGGCAATACCTGATCTCTCAGATTTATGGCAAGGATCTAGGCAGATATCAGAGTGAGCCCAGTGTCTGGCACATAGTAGGGTACATAGTAGTACCCTCTTCCTAATCCCACCCCACCCCGAGTTTCTCCAACTCCCTACCTTTCTCCTTTCTTCCTCCCCTGGGCTGCCTTACAGCCCTGCTCACATGATCCCTTTCAAGGAATGTTTGGTGAAAACATGTCAGGGGAGACACGTGTCTCAGGGACAGCTTATACAACTGTGCTTACGCTTTTTTGGAAACTCCATGTGGGAGGTCAGCGTTTGGCTGCTTGTCCTGTGCATCAGTGACCATCCTGGGCTCTGGCCAGCAAGCTCCTCTTTGAAACAGGAAACTGGAGAGTGAGGAGAGAGAGAGAGAGCTAATCACCTGCCTGTTTTTTCTTTCAGAT